ATGCTGATGAGATGATTAATAAATGTGTAATTGCTCATTTATTTACCGTTCACCCGGTGAAAAAAGAAACATCACTACTATCATAACACGATCATAACTAGTTATCCAAATTAAATGCGGAATAAATATAACAAATAAACTGGATGCCAGAATGTAAACAGATAGCGGGTCGGGTTCACATCTGAGTAGAAGTCTAATTGCGAGCAATGAAAGATGGCCTGCCATAGTTAATTGCCGACTCTAGCGTTGAGCTGTGAACGAGAAAAGACACGTGTAGTATAACAGCAGCTGTGCTCGACTGGTTTATATATATATATATATATATAGCGGTCGGCGTAGCGTTGTGCAATGCCGTCTAGAAGGGTTTCATCATTAACACAAACCGCGGGGGAAGAAGAAAAACAGCCATTGCTACATCCGCTGGTTGGATTATGTTCACACTCTCGCCACCTGCCGCACGTTTTTCGTTTTTAATTGTCTTAAATAACACGCGGTTTTGTTACATATAGATCAGGAGTAGATGATAGGGATTCCCTATTATCAACTCCTGATATAGATCTCTGTCGTAAGGCGAGCGCGCGCGAGAAACCATCCCGCACCTCAGAGAGGCGCGTCCTTCTATTGGCTGAAAATAGACAGTCAGCAAGATGCTCCCGCGGGCAACGAAAATAAACAAAGAGAACCGCTGTCGGTATATGCTGAGATGTGAAAATATTACCGATGCGAGTGCATAGACGCGGCTCCGTATATAGAATGTATACATACGTCCCATGTTTAGTCTCCCGGTCGTCTGTCATCGCTTCAGCATAAACTAACATCCCGCGTGGCGACAACGTTGACGATGGCCCAGGTTTGTTTATATACTCACCTAATGTCCGTATTATAGCAAGAGTTAATGATACAGGTATTATTATCTCTTGATTATATACATATATGCAGAAATACCGCGGCGTTAGAGGAGAAGCGTCGCCTATGGTTACTCGTACATTAATTCCTCCTGTCTCCCTCTCTGTTCCTTCCGTCTCCTCCTCTGACTGTAGTTGTTCGTACTTTATTTACATTCGTATATATGATTTATTAGTATATTAACCATCCCTCGGCTTTCTCTCTTGCTCTCTAGGAGGCGCCGAAGGAGGAAGACTCCAAGGAGATGGGGGAAGGCAAGACGTCGCCGGCCTCCCTCTCAGCCACCTCACACATTCCACGTCATCATCGATCCGGCTCACCTTCCCCCGCCAAGGTCCCGGCCACCATCAAACGACCACAGGTATGTACACACACACACACACACACACACACACACGCACGCACGCGCGCACGCACGCACGCACGCACGCACGCACGCACGCACGCACG